GGGCGATATTTCGGCGACCCATGGCCCTGTGGGGCCCTCTGGGGAGCGTGTTGGCGCCTTCTTGGCCCGTTTTGGAGCCTTCGGCTCCCCCGTGGCGCGTTCGGTCTAGGGCCGCGCCAGGCGATGGGTTCGAAAAGATTGTTGCAGAAAGCCTCGGGGTTTCTCTGGGAATCGCATATACTTCCTAAGTTGCCCTATGGATTAGCAAGGACACGCTGCCGATGCCCGAAGAAATTTCATGGATTTCGCAGGGAAGCTTGTGGATTGCCTTAGAGGTTCGATGGGATCACTAAGGGGCCCTATTGATGTCCCAAGGCATATGGTGCATGCCCGATGGAATCCGATGGAACTCCTTCCAACAGCGAGAACTGGCCGTTCAGAAGGCCTTCCGCCGCCGTGGAGCTGCTGACGAACTTTCGGGCGAGCGGGGGGGACATCTCGGCGCGCCGCGAGCGCTGGGTTCGGGCCACGGGGATTGCGAGGGAGAGCGCCGTGGCTCATCATCACGGGTCGCTGATCTTGATCTTGCATCACTTGGTGTGTTTCGATCAGGTCGACGCCTTCCAGTTGGCTGGCGCCGAGGCTCTCTCGAGTCATCAGCATCGGGTCACCATCATCATCATCATCATCATCATCATCATCATCATCATCATCGGGAGACCACCACCAACATCTTCATCTTTATCGGAACACCACCATCAGCGTCATAACCATCATCATCATTTTCGGGACACCATCATCACCATCACCATCATCACCGTCATCATCAACATCCTCACCATCATCGGGACACCACCATCAACATCAGCATTATCATCAACATCAGCACCATCAGAATTGGGACACCATCATCCTCGTCACCATCATCATTGTCATCATCATTATCGCGACACCATCATCATCAACATCATCATCGTCATCATCACCATGACCGGGCCACCATCATCAAAATCATCAACCTCACCTCATCATCATCCTTGCCATCAACATCATCATCATCAGGGGGACACCATCATCGCCATCATCATTAACATCATCATCACCAGGACACCATCATCACCCTCACCATCATCACCAACAGCATCATCATCAACCTCAGCATCATCATCGGGACACCACTATCATCATCATCATCATCTTCATCATCATTCCATCACCCCCTCATTACCTACATCATCGGATCATCAACATCATTATCATCTTCGGGGCACCATCATCATCATCATTATCAGTAACATCAGCATCATCCGCATCATCATCATCGGGACACCATTATCATCACCACCAGCACCATCATAATTATCACCCACAGCGCCAACATCATCATCATCATCATCATCATCATCATCGGGCACCATTACCACCATCATCATCATCAGGCATCATCACCATCATCATCATCACCACCACCACCATCAACATCATCAACATCATGAACATCATCGACGTCATCACCATCATCATCGGGACACCGACGGGACACCGGCGGGGCACCGGCGGGGCACCGGCGGGACACGGCGGGGCACCGGCCCCCGGACCGGGATCGATCTCACTTTCGGTCTCTCTCGATCGATCTCAGTCGATCGATCTCACAATCGATCTCACTCGATCTATTTCATTCGATCTATCTCGCAATCGATCTGACTATCGAGCTCACAGTCGAGTTCACTATCGATCGCACTATCGATCGTCATATTCGGTCTCACGATCGATCTCACCATCGGTATCACACTGGATCTCACAATCAAAGTCATCATCATGATCGACGTCATCGTCATCAACGTCATCAAAATCTTCATCATCATCGGGACACCATCATCATCAACGCATCACCATCATCATCAACATCCTCATCATCACCATCATCATCGTCATCATCGGGCCACCACCATCGCCACCATCAGCATCATCAACAGCAGCATCGTCGGGACACCATCATCATCTTCATCATCATCGGAACACCACCATCAGCATCATCATCTCACGATCATCATGAACAACATGATCAACATCATCACCATCACCGGGACACCATCATCATCATCACTAACATCATCAACAACAACATCATCATTGGGACAGCAGCATCATCGCCACCATCATCAGCATCACCATAATCATCGTCGGGACACCGTCATCATCAACATCAGCATCATCATTACCACCATCGGGCTACCATCATCAAAAACAGCATCATCACCTCATCATCACCCTCATCACCGACATCATTTCATCATCATTATCGGGAAATCATTATCATCATCAACATCACCATCATCGGGATACCATCATGCCACCATCATCATCAACAGCATCAACCCATCATCATCATCATCATCTGGACATCATCCGCATCATCATCATTTTCATCATCATCATCTCATCGTATCTTCACACCACCAACATCATCATGATCATCAACATCACCATCTTAATCGGGACACCATCATCGTCATCAGCAACACCATCAGCAGCATTACTATCATCATCGGGACACCATCATCTTCACCACCAGCACCATCATCATCATTAACATCGTAAACATCATCATCATCGGGACACCATCATCATCATCACCACCATCACCATCATCATCAACATCATCGGCATCATCATCATCAGGACACCGACGGGACACCGGCGGGACACCGGCGGGACACCGCGGGCCACCGGCCCCCGGACAGGAATCATTTGGTCCGGCCGCACCTCAGCCGGGGGCGGGACACCAGCGGGACACCGCGGGCCACCGGCCCCTGGAAAGTCATCATTTGGTCCGGCCGCGCCTCAGCCAGAGGAGACTTTCTTCTTGCCCGCCCGCGCAGCTTCGCCTCGCCCGCACGCGCGTCACGCACGAACACGAAACCGAAACCGATTTCCCGGTAGGGGGGCTCTCCGTTCCACTTCGATCTCACCCCCTCACTTCCGATATATACATTTTCGACGTCGGCTGTTCGAGCCCGCGAGATCGCAAAAATTGCGGTATAAGCGCTGACCACGGTCGTGCGGCCTTGTCCCAGATGTGTTTCCAGTTAGTCTGCGCACTGAAAAAAAAACATCGAGTTATCGTGTCCTACCTATATCCAGCAAGACTGTTGTAATGTTTTTGTTTGTGATGTCTTTGTGTTTCGCTCATGTCTTGGTTTAAAACCATGACTTCCTCTGACGTCTTGTTTTTTCCATGATGTCCGGATGCGCGGGTTGGCCGCGCGCCAGTTTCTGGCTCCATCATGGCGGGCCCGCAGGCATGGTGGCTGCAGCTGTTGCCTTGATCGCCGTCGACTGCTACCTGCGCCCGACCCGTGCCCATGAGCCCGCAGCAGATCGCGTCTCTCTGTCCCGCCGCGCAGGGCGCCCCGTCGCGGTCGCCATTGCCCCCGCGTCGCATGATGTGCCCGCGGGGAATTTTCAGTCTGATGCCTCAGCGGTCGTCGGCGCACACGATGGGCAGTGGGTCGCTCAGCTCGAACAGTTTCTGGCCCCTCGATCTCCCTCGGGCCCCCTCCTCAGCTTGCAGCTCTCAGAGTGGGAGAAGATGCGTCGTCAGTTTCGGAGGGCCCGCTTCACGGATGAGCTGGCCCTCTCTCCGCGAAGCTTTTCGGCGCGCTGGTCCGACTCAAGACGCATGTTTTCAAATGTGGTGTTTTTTTACATTGCGGGCAACAAGCGGTGGGCACAGCCGATCGTTTGCCCTTGGATGCTCCAGGCTTGCATGTTTGTTTCGAAATTGGCCCAGCATCTCTCGCCAGGAGTTGCAGCAAACTGAATATATCTCCCAGCGGTTCCCATCGCAAATCCTGGACCATTTTGCCCCGCCCCGCCGTCGCGTTGCTCAGCTCACTCCCTCGGTGTCTCGCGCCAAACTGAAGTCTGGCAATGTGGGCGCGAGCGGGTAGGCTCTCGTGGACCTGCTATTTCTTTTTCCATGGCGTGACCTCATCCAGGATCCTGTGTTGCCGTGGATACGAACATTTTCACGCTTGGGTGAAGTGGCAAAGGGAGCTGTAAGTAGGGAGCGGGAGTGTCCATATCATTGTTATGCTGCCACTTTCGTCTTTTATCCCTTGGGTTTGCGCCCGCTCGTCGGGCTTGCAGCCGCTCTGCGGGGTAAAGGCGGTTTGGGGCCGGCGCGATTGGATGTGCATCGCAGTTTCGCTCCACTATCGTAGCCGCCCCCGACGTCATTTTGGCTTCTCCTCCTCCCCTCCTCCGCCCACTGTCTGTGATCTATCTTTGCTGGGGCCGCTGCCAGATGCATTGCATTCAGATTTCGATGGGGTTCCTTTGGGATCCTATGGATTTCTTGAGAAATCCGATGGGTTGCCATAGGATTCCCATACATGTCTCAACGGATCCTTATGGATGTCGTAAGGAATACTATGGATGTTCTAAGGCGTCCTAGGTCTTTCCCTAGGAATCCCCTGGATGTTCTACAAGGATCTTGTGGATTCCCAATCGAACCCGATGGAATTCCTTAAGAATCTTGCGCGCTTCGTCAGAAGACCCATGCATTTCCTTGGGGATACCGTGGGTGTCCTACGGATTCCTAAGGATTTGCGGGGGAACTTCATGGATTTCCTAAGGAATCCAGTGGATTTCTGGACAAATCCCGTGGATGTACTAAGGGATGCGATGGGTTTCCTAAGGAGTCCGGAAGGATGTCTTCAGGAGTCCGATGAATATATTCCCAAAAGGAATCCCGACGATGTTTGAAGGATCCCATGGAGCGTCCAGGATCAGTTTCATCATCATTATGCTGCGATCAGCGGGCAAAGCCCCCTCGGCCCCGAGCCTTATTGTTCCCAGTTGATAATTATCAGGCGCACAGGGTTATTTGATTGATGCCCTCCGCTGCCTCCTCATATTCCTATTATTCGTTCTCTGTCTCCTCCCCCTCCTTGTCGCCCTCATATACATGGTTATTTCCTTTTTCCCCTGGTGCCCTGTATAGTCGTCCCCATCCCTATCCAGTTCACCCATTTCCTCTCGACAGACCTCCGAAGGCTGCGGAGGCCGCCCAGATGCAGATGTCTGGCCAGCAAAGGATGATGATGGAGGCTGGGTGGGTCGCGGCGCTGGCCAACGCGTCGTTGTCGTCATCCTCCTCCGCCTCCTCCTTCTCTTTGTCAGCCTGCGCTCTGTTTTCCCTTCTCTCTCATTGTCCTGCCTCCCGTCTCGCTCATTGTCGTGCCACCCGTCCTCCTCCTCCGTACCTCCCCCCCATCCTCATCTTGGGATGCTGGCACGCGTATCTAAGACAACCGTTTTCCTCACCCGAATCCTGCGAAAAGACCATGGTGGGCGCAATTGTTTGCCTTTGGTCGGGGCCATAAATGCATCATGCCAGGGCCAGCTCGGACGGTCAATTTTTAGGTTGGGAGTTCCAGTCGTGCGTTGCCAGCAAGGCGTCGCGTTTTGCCGCGTGTCGTCGGACTCTGGTGTTTCAAAGCGAACCTGTTCCATGTCTACCTCTCCCGTTGAATCTACTTCGTTGTCAACCGCTGGTCTCCGCAAGCGAGGCGCAGCGCCTTATGCAGACTAACCCTGAGATGTACGAGCAGATAATGAGCTCGCCAGAGTTCCAAGCCATGATGGAGACCGCCTGGGGCTGCAAGTTTGGAGCATAACGGAGGCATGTATGTTGTCGACACGCACTTTTGCACCAATCCCGTCTTGAGTCCTTGCCTGCTTTATTGTCATTGTGTATCCTTTCAGGTTGGCGCTTAGGTGTCACTCGGCCAACTCAGCCTGGCGCCGTGAGAGCCTTGCGGGTGGCACGATGCTAGCAGTTGGAGGAAATGGTTTCGCAGGCGCGAGAGCACCTTTGTAGATTACGCGTTAGAGTGACCCTTCGCCAGAGTGACCTCTGAGGCGGGCCCAACGGCTTCCTCCCGACCCTGGCCTGCGCGTCTGGATCTGGCTTCCCAGCGGCACTCCTATTCTGACCGTAGCAGGTGATTCTAAGGGAACGGGGGAGGTCTATGAGTGTGTGCCCAGGTAGACCAGCTTCATGAGCGGGTTGCAATTGCCTGAAGTGGTTTAGGGGGGATAGATAACGCTGAGGGGCGATAGATAACTCCGCTAAGTGGACGGAGCCCGTAGCCACCCCGGGCCAATCCAAGTAGAGCCGCGCACCAAGGGTCACCCTTGCCTAGGGTCACGTTTGCGTGCAGCCGATGTTGGCAGATCCTTGCCGGTGCGGAGGAGGGGCGCACGAGAACACACCACAAGCATCCAGTGGCGATGCCGCGCAGCTACGCTGCCGCCGCGCTCGGGGTTGACCGGCGCGGCAGCATCGGCAGCGCAGCACGGCTGCGGCGTGGCATGAGGTAGGACTGTTGCGCTGGAGGTTTTTTCCATGCAGTCTCTGGCAAGTGTACTTGCATGGATGGGGGAGGGGGAGGGGTCCCTGCGAGGCCCGAGAAAAAAGCTGGAGACTCCGCGCAAGTCGGGACTCCTCTTCGTACCTTTTCGGCCCATCGCTGTTCGAAATGGCGGCGACGCCACGTGTCTCGTGGGTGCTTGCTTTGTCCACGCCACAAGTGTATACACACGCGCTCGGATACGTGTTCCTCCCCCGGGATTTCGGGTAGCGTTGGATATGGATACATTTTGCCACCCCCTGGGTGCGGGAAGTATCCACAGCCATCTCTCCGCGGACTCTTGAGGGCCATGTCTCCAAATCGGTGGATAAAGAAAGATCAGAGTGGGGGGGCCGAACGGTCATTCACTGTCCCTGGGCGCGCGGCTGAAGTTTGGTTCTGCGGTGCGGATGCTTGTTTCGATGATGTTTTGTTGTTGATGATGATGTTTAGACTTTCGCCGCCACAGAAAAATTATGTTGATCCTCCCTCCGGTAATCATTTTGCGTTTTTCAATTCAAGTGCTTATACCCGGGCTCGCACCCAGTTTTTCACAAGGGAGAGTAAGGTGCTAACAAACTGTGCTCTTAGCCCCTGATTGACAACAACAAGGACTTTTTCGTAATACTTCCTCACAATGTATTTCCAAATCGCGCTATCGCGCGGGACTTCCTCACAATGTATACAGGAATCGCGTTCTCGCGTGGGACTTCCCGCAATTTATTCAGACGCAAAAAGGTAAGACAGGGAAAAGGGGGTATACGAAGTCTGCTGCATGCACTTGGTTTCCGCCCCGCCGCAGGGCCCTGTCCTCGATACATGGGCGCCTCCCAGCGCCAGGAGGCCCCGAACAAAAACAGCTACGTGAGCTATCCTACCCTCTCGTCCCTCCCGATTCTAAGACGCCCTCCCCCCTCCCCCCTCCCCCCGTTGCGCGCCGCCAAATATGCCTACCGTGAGCCTCCCACCAGCGGGCCCGCCGCGCAGGAGCGGCCCGAGCTCCTGCGGGGCGCCGCGGAGAGCAGCCCCCACGTGGCGGAGGCGGCCGTTCCTCGCGGCGCGCGCGCGCGCCTCCACGGCGGGCACCCCGACGACGACGCCGACGCCGACGCCGTCGTTGACGACGCCGACGACGACGACGACGAAGACGCCAACGACGACGGCGACGACGATGACGACAACGACGGCGACGACGACTACGACGTCGGCGCCGGCCACGGCGACGACGCCGATGACGACGACGACAATCACCACGGCCCCTACGACCGCCAACTCGCCCTCTTCTCCTGCCCCCCGCCCGCCTGCCCCCGCCCCCTCCCCCGCCCTCCCTTCCTCCCGCCGGGCCGCCCCTGCAGCTGCGCTGGCTTTTGGCCTCTCCCCCGGCTCCTCCTCCTGCTGCTGCTTTTCCTTCTTGTTTTTCGCTGCGTGTGGACACGGACAAAGCTCAGGGCAGCCCCCTGAGGGCCATCGGGTCCGCCACGTCCGCGGCTGGCATTGGACACGACGACGGCGGCGGCGGCGGCGGCGGCGACGGTGGCGGATGCGACGACGACGACGGTGGCCGATGCGACGACCCCAGATCTCTGGCGATCTGATTTCTTGCGCATCCTGGCGGTTCTTTCTCGATCTCGGTTACATGTGTTTGGAAAGAAAAATTGGGCCCAGGGGAGGGGCCGGCACCTCTGGGGCCGTGCGTTCAAACAGTCGGATCGGAGGATGCTTGGGATGATGGCCGCGACGGCGACCATAGCGAGGGCCACGACGGGTGCGACGACGACGACGACGGCGACGGGCTTGGCGACGCCATCGCTGACCACAGCAACTTGTCGGCCGAGGTTAGTTCGCGATATAGAAGTTTCCGGATGTGCCTGGCGCTTTTCGGTTGTGCTTGTGGGGCTTTCTGCAGGCTTCTAGGAATCTCTGGGGAACTCCGAAAGTGCGAGATCCGTGCCCAAGCAATTCAGGGCGCAGCTGAAAGTGGAAGCCAGTATCCGCTTTCGAAGCACTGACGATTCAGGATGCAACCCCTTGGAGGTTCAATTTAGCATGGGCGCTGGTATATGCAGTGTCGGAAGCTGGGATAATCCCGCTCAGTTCCATGAGGTCCGGCCGAATCGGGTCATTTAAGTGCTGCATGTGACCCACATCTAACCACGTGTCTCGTTGATTGGGCTTCATAGCTTTTGAACGTTCTCAAGAAAGCATCCTCAGATGTTCTATCACCTCCCGTGCTAAACGAGGGCCTTCTGCAGCTGCCCAAGCGCGCGTCCAGAAACATTGACAGAACATGTCAGACTGTACTGCTGGCGAGGGAGGGAGGGGTGTTCCGCCGCTGCGCCCCCTTCACGCTTCACGAGCAGGACAACGATTGAAAGGTGACGCTCTCAATGCTTAATGGGCAACTCTGCGCTTCAGGTCTTGTGCTTGTTCACAAGTCGGCGCGCTACGCCCCGAAACTGCCGCGGCCACAAAATGCGAAGCGCGAAGCGATGCTTGAAATGATCGACATGCGGTGACAAGAGAGGACAACAGCGGACAAATCGTGCCCCCCTTCTCGCGTATAAAGAGCGTTCTGCCGATAATTTCGAAGCGAATGGGACTGTGGCGAGGGGGACTTCCAGGAGGCCACCAAGGGCAGGAGACATCGAACTCCGCAGGATGGCAGGCAGAGGAAACCCTCAGTGGGGTGAAGCTCCTCTGCATCTCCCCCTTCCCACCCTCCGCAGCATCCTCCCTCCTCCACCCTCCGCTTCCCTCGTCCTTCCTCCCTCCTCCGCCCTACTCCTTTTACCTCCGCCCTCCTCCGTCCTTTCCCCCCTGCCTCCTCCCCCTCCCCCCTCCGCCCCAGGGGTTGGGGCGAGGAGGGGCGGGAGGGCAGGGACGGGCGAGGGAGCCCGCGTTGGGAGTGCCAGCCCGCCCTCCAGCCCCCAGCGCAGTGGCGCAGGGGCGGGGGGGAGGAGGCGGGGGAGCAGGTACTTAGTAAGCCGCAGTTGTTTGTTGCGAAAGGCGTGCTCCCAGAAGGGCGGGGTAGGACAAAGAAACACTTGCACACACATCGATTCGCGGAGGTCCGCGCGGACTCCGTAGGTCGGAGCGGACATCCGAACATGTATGTTCATACCGTTTGTCTTGAACAGTTTGTCTGCAAGGGTATACATACACACACATATATATACATATATTTATACATGTATGTATGTAGGAGGGCCTGGAACCTCCAGGTAGCCAGACCCGAAACCACCCGAAATTCCCGAGACATTCCCCCTCCGAGAGGAGGTCTTAATCGTAACCAGTGGGTTTTCAATCGTAAGCGTGGTACCAAAGAGCACCAGATTCAAGTACCCGACCAAACACACAGCTTCAAAATGGTGTTGTTGTCCCCGCCGCGCTTACGGTTATAGACTACTCTCCCTTTCCACATCCCCTCCTGCAGCCCCCCTCGGGGTGCCCCTCCTTCGGCAGGCTTCTGACCGCCCTCGAGGTCCCTCCTCCACCTCGTTGGGTCGGGATGCCTCCGTCTTCTCGAGGCGACGCGCAGCCAGAGAAGGGGGGAACGCTCTCTCTCTCTCTCTCTCTCTCTCCCTCCCTCTATATATATATATATATGTCTTTACCTTGCTCTCTCTCTCTCTCTCTCTACATGTTCTCTCCCTTACTCTCTATCACTCGTGTTTGTGTTTCTCTGTTTCTCTCTCATTCTTTCTTCATTGCTCTCTTGGTGTGTGTGTGTGTCAAACATTATATATATGTGTACAGATGTAGAAATTCAACCTGTCTTCGTACATCGAAGGCGCACACGACGAATCACCCCCGCCCCCTGACTTTTGGAAGCGCCTATCTGGCCAAACGTTTGGGCAAAGTTTGGCCACGCAACTGGACCATGCGTTCCACCCGCCGTTGTGCAAGCCCTTCGGGGAACACGTGGGGGAGGAAGATAAGGATGAGGAGAGGGAGGGAAAAGGAGGATGAGCTGAAGGATGAGGAGACCTCTTGGGAGCTTCTTGGGTCATTTTTGGGGCCTCCTGGAAGCTTCCTGGGGGGCTCTTGGGCGCCTCTGGGGGTCCTCCTTGGGCCTCTTGGGGGCCGTTGGGGGCTTCTTGGGGGCATCCTTGGCAGTCTTACGGGTTTCCTGGCTCGTCGGAAGCCTTTTTGGGAGCCTCTCTGGGCCGTCTTGGGGCCCTCTTTGGGCGCTTCAGGGTCGACTTGAAGGCCGTCTTGGGCGTCTTGGGGACCTCTTGGGCCGTCTTGGGGTCCTTTTGGGGTCGTTTTGGGAGCTTCGTGGGCCGTCCTGGGGGCGTCTTGGAGGCATCTTGGGCGATCTTGGGGCAGTCTTGGGGGCTCCTCAGGCCGTCTTGAACCGTCGAAGATAGCTTCGAAGCAACAACCGGAATTCTTCAAGAACCATTCTGAAAATCACGGATTTCGGCCTCTTCGTGCCTTCCTGAAGGACCTCTCACAGGCCTCTTGGGCCGTCTTAGAGGCCTCTTGGGCGCTTCTGGGGCCGTCTTGGGCTCTCTTGGGCCATCTTGACGGTCTTAGAAGCACCCTGGGACCCGCTTGGCGGCCATTTTGGGCTATCTTGGCCTCTCTTGGGGCCATCTTGACCGTCTTGGAGGCATCTTGGAGGCCATCGTGGCCGTCGTGGAGGCGATGTGGGCAACGAATGCTGAATTTTTCGGCGGCCTTTTGGGTGGCCGGCGGACTGGGCCGAAACCCCACTGGGAATTCCACCGCCCCCTGTTGACTTAGTACAGGGGTGCCTGGCTTGCTGGACGTCTGCGCCCAGTGTTGCTTCGGCCCAACCCGCCGGCCACCCGGAAAGCCGCCGGAAATACACCTTTCATTGGTCAAATTCGCTCCCAACACGGCTAACTAAGATGACCTCGTGTGGTCTGCAGGACGGTTCCAAGGCGCCTCCAAGACAGCCTAGAAGGCATTGAGAGAGGCCAAGATAGTTGAAAGATCCTCCCAATATGCCGCAACAGGCACTCAAGATGGCCTAAGATGGCTTCTAGATTGGCCAAGACTGCCCGAGAAGCCTTCAAGAGGCATCCAAGACGGCCCAAGAGGCCTAAGAGGATCCACATGAATGCCCGAAGAGGTCAAATCACTGATTTGCCTTTGGCCATTGAAGGTGTTTGGCCTTTGCGTGTTTTCGTTCTTCCGACGGCCCAGGACGGCCCCACATACTCCGAAGATCGCCCCTGTATCGTCGCAGAGGCCTCCAAGATGTTCCCATGATGGGTCCAAGGAACACCCAAGCCGGCCCCCAGAGGGCCCAAAGACGGCCCAAGAGGCCTCTCATGTGTTCAAGATGTTTTCAACAATTGCCAAGATGCCCCCAAGAGAGCCCGAGATGGCCGCAAGATGTTTCCAAAACAGCCCAAGCTGCATCTAGGACGACCCAAGGTGTGCCCAAGATGGCTTGAGACGGCGCAAGAGGCCCCAAGATGCCTCGGAGAGAACCTCCAGGAAAGCCCGACGAGATCTCGCCTCATCATCTTTCTCCCTCACGAGTTCCCCGAAGCGTTTCCTCAACGTCTGAGGCGGCACTTGCTCCGATAGCTTGGCCGAGCTCTAGCCTCAACGTTCGGCTACATAGGCGCTTCCAAAAGGCAGGGGGCGGCGGTCATTCGCCGTAGGCATGTCTTCGATCTGAAAGAACAATACAACGCCAGACGTCCAGCATTCCGTGCACCCCTGTGGCAAGCCACACGGGGCGGCGGATCGAATAGCCTTCGGCCCATCCCGCCACCGTGTTGGGGTTGTGGATCATAGGACTCTGGGGTGTTCGTTGGGATGTCGCGGGAGGCCTCTCGGGGGCCTCTTGGGCGTCGTTTTGAAGCCTCTTGGGGGCCGTTTTGGGGCCTCTTGGGGAGTCTTGGGGGTCTCTCGGGGGTCGCTTGCGGGTTTCTTAGGGCCTCGTGGGTGCCGCTTGGGGCCTCTTGGGGGCTTCTTGGGGAGGCAGACTTGGGTGTTCGGTTCGTGCTCACCGTCTTGGGCCCTTCTTGGGGCTGTCTTCCTGTTCGGCCGTCTTA